ACTATATAGTATAACATAGTATATAGTAATGTAATAATATAATATAGTATATAGTAATATATATATATATATATATATATATATATATCTATAGGGGGCGGATCAAATGAGGCCAACTCTTAAAATGAGGTCAGCTCTTAAAATGCGGACACTAACCTTGCACAATCAGACAACTAACCTAGCACAATCAGACAACTAACCTAGCAGCATCAGACAACTAACATAGCAACTGCAGAAACTATGCATTTTCTAATTTTTTCCAATTGGTACATAAAATAAAAGTTGAGAGAATTGTTATGAATAAAAAAACTTCGAAAATGAGTCTTGATTGGAGAGATATAGAGGTTTAAAAATACAAAAAACGTATTTTTTTCTTAAAAATGAAATTAAAGCAAGAAAAAAGGCATTTTTTCAAAAATTCGGGCGGCCAAACCGCCTTCGGCATTTTGCAACTGCGTAGATCTGGTCGAGCTACCCCAAATCAAAAAAAAATTCGTCCAAAACGGAGCTTTCTACGCAAAGTTATGGTCTTCCAAAGTTTTACAAATTGATAAAACTAACCTAGCAGAGATATATAACTATTCTAGCAACAGAATATAACTAACCTAGCAAGAACAAAGACCTAAACTAGCACCATCAAACAACTACCCTAGCAGAAATATATAACTAACCTAGCAACAAGACACTACTAACCTAGCAACAACAGACAACTAACCTAGCATAGATCTATAACTAACCTAACACCAACAGACCGGTGCCCCTTTATATAAGGGTCACCTCTCGAGAGCGCTCTTTATGGACATTAGACAGAGGATGATCGATAGGATCTCGGGCTGGTCGCATAGACATCTTTCTTTCGGTGGTCGGCTTGCGCTGATCAAGAGCACTCTTAGCTCTCTTCCGCTTCACTTGCTCATGGTCCTCGACCCCCCTAGGTCTACTCTTGACGAGATTGACCAGATCATGGCTCGCTATTTCTAGGGTTACGAGGACGATTCCGGGAGGGGGAGACGTACCCACTGGGTGAGTTGGGACT